CCTAATATCTCAATAGGTGCAAAACCTCTTACCACTATAGCAAGAAAAGTAACAACCACAAAAGTATAATAGCTATGCTCTCCACAAGAACTATAAACTTGGTTGGATCATCATCACCCTCATCTACTTCAATCATATTCACCGAGGCACTATTATGGTTCGGGAATGGGTTGTTGTTAACATTTGGTGTCGGTTACTTGATGAGTACACAAATTGGACTCATTTAGTGCTATATTTTGATAGAATTAGTGTCCTCAAATTCATATTTTATCTCATTATCTGATGAAAACCCTTAAGTTTTAGGTATTTGGAGTTTAAGAGAAAGCATGGACACTACTTAGCAAAAAAGGAACAAAAGCAGCTGAAAGAATGAAGAAATGAAGATCTGAGAATTGCCGAACCCATTTGGTGAATCACCAAAAGGTCTTATCCTCACCTTTTGTTCAAGTGCACTGAGCCCTGAAAGAAAGGATCAAATCGGCGGTGAAAAAAAGTAGTCGGCGTGATGCCGAGCAGTTCTGCGAAGCAGTACAATGTCGCCCAATGATACAAAACATGACGATGCTGAAGGAAAGAGCAAGACGACGATGAAACCTACCAAAGGGCGGATCGCCGAGTTGATCAGCGATCTTGACTAACGACGCCGAATGATCTGTTGCATCACAAATTTTTGAAAACTATAAATACTCATTGAGAGTTGTAGCTTAATATCAGATTTTTAATATAGAATTTTTAACATAGAATATTCTCTCAAGCTTGGAGAGGGTTTTGAAGAACTTGAAGATTCAAAGGGTTTTAACTCCAAGATTTTGGACTTGGGTCTTGTGGATTCTTCACTTTTGACTTGTTTTAAGACTTAATCTTGCATACCCATTGATGGAAACTGAGATTGATATACATTTTTACCTCTTTTGCATGTGTAGCTAAAACCCCAATTCTTGGGGTGTGATTTTGTGAATATGGGTTAGATTATCTGTTGGGTCTTGCTTTTGGATGGTTATTTGTTGTGTAAATGTGATTTCGTTTTGTAGTTGTGGTGGAACTTAATGAAATTGTAGTTGCAAATACGATTTCACCTTTGTGTTTTCGACTTGCTCGAGAGAGAGATCATAAAACTAACACTACTAAATTGATGGCCGATGGGAGTGGGTCCACATGTGGTTCAGCTCGAGACAGTGAACCCTAGTCCTTCACCCACACACTCAGCTCGAGAGAGTGAGTGGGCTAAGGCGGAGGCTGTTCTTCATGCGGCAAGTGGGTGTCCGAGAGGAACCCATTTGATTCAGGGTAAGTTGCTCGAGAGAGAATTTACCCCCACTATAGTCTAGCCTAGTCACAAATACTCAACGGACTTACTATCAAAAGCATGTACCCAATAGTCAAGTCTAACCCGTATTCCTATCACATCCCAAGAATCCCGTCTCTATAATAGTATCTCTCGTTATTTTTGCTGATTTTGCTCTTTACTTGTTTACAAACCCCCCATTGATAATTGACGCTTGCGTCACCCCTTAGATTTAACATGTTTACATTAGATAATGTTTTTATCTATGACTAATTAGAACTTAGTTTTATTTTTCTATTAATTCTCGAAACCACTTTTTGTGAGAATGATCCCAACCCTTGGTTGGGTTACTAAACTATTGTACGATCGTAGACACTTGCATTGGAAGTTGTGTCTTGATTACACAAACATCAAAATGGCACCGCTGCCGGGGAGTGGTGTTATTTGAGAATTTTTAGATTAGTAGAATTTTTGTTCTTCTTTGTTGTAGTTCACTTACTGTACTTTTAGTTTCGTTTTGCTTGTTTTTATATTGAAGTAGAAACATCGATATAAAGGATCATTATGGGTATCAAACAGATCACCCTTCTTAAAATTGTTGAACCTTAGGGACAACCTCCTAACGTTCAAACGGGTACGGGATGAAACCATTCAGGAAATGTGGCTGAAGTTTTAAGCAGTGCTAGAACCATGTCCATCTCATGGAATGACCGACAAAGCGCTACTGGAATGCTTCTATAGGGGTCTTGGACCCAAAAATAGAAGTATCGCCGATCAACCTTTCATGGGTGGTGTGTTACACCATCCCTATGAAGTAGTAGCAAATCTCCTTGATGGAATGGTTGAAGCCAATAAGGAAGCCCAGAAGAAACATGAGTGGGATGCACTAGTAGCTCAAGTAGATATTCTATCCAAACGAGTCATGGTTTTGGAAGCACAAGCCACGGAAAAGGACAAGGACTTCTCCCTACGAGAGTGTAAAAATAGGAAGAAGCATGGGGTTGTGCAAAATGATGAAGTTCTCTCACTCATTCAAGAAAATTGAAGTACAAGACAAGTTGCTGAATGAGATAAAAGAGAACATCGAAATGCTAAATGAAGTGTCAACCTCTAACTCCATGACAATTCAGTTGCAAGATGCCCAGATAGGCCATTTGATATCAGGTCGCTATCTACCGTTTGCCGAGGATTCACCTAGTTACACCATGGCGGACTCTGAGGATGAGGACTAGGTGTTAACTTGCGCCGTACCACGACGTTAACTAAGGCGCTGTTTGGGAGGCAACCTGTAGCGACCCTAAAAATAGATAGGTGAAACTAGAGCCTAACGTATGAATTTTTAAAGTTTAAGCATAAATTGGAAGTAGTCACTTTTGGAGAAAAAAAAAGTTATGAATCTGGAAATTGGCTAAGTTCAAAACTTCAAATGATTAAACCTTTATGTGTGAATATGGAATCATTCCTTGTGTAAGGGCATTTGAACACTTTGGTTGAGCTTGAACTTGCATTTGAAGCAAGTATTGTGAGCATGAGAGTCTTTGGTATTGGTGAGTCACAACTTGAATCTTTGAGTGCACATTTGATATTTGCATAAGTAAATTGAGTTTTGTTGTGTGCATTCATGATTGAGTCTTGTGTAGCACTGTTCGAGATACCCTTTTTGAACGGTTGGACTTGAGTTTGCTTGAGGACAAGCAAAAGTTTAAGTTGGGGGTGTTGATGAGTCCACAAATTGGACTCATTTAGGGCTATATTTTGATAGAATTAATGTCCTCAAATGCATATTTTATCTCAATATATGATGAAAACCCTTAAGTTTTAGGTATTTGGAGTTTGAGGGAAAACATGGACACTACTTAGCAAAAAAGGAACAAAGGCAGCTGAAAGAATGAAGAAATGAAGATCTGAGAATCGCCGAACCCATTTGGCGAATCGCCAAAAGGTCTTATCCTCGCCTTTTTTTCGAGTGTGCTGAGCCCTGAAAGAAAGGATCAAATCGGCGGTGAAAAGGAGTAGTCGGCGTGACGCCGAGCAGTTCTGCGAAGCAATACAATGTCGCCCAATGATACAAAACATGACGATGCTGAAGGATAGAGCAAGAGGGAGATGAAACCTACCAAAGGGCGGATCGCCGAGTTGATCGGCGATCTTGACTAACGACGTTGAATGATCCGCTACATCACAGATTTTTGAAAACTATAAATACTCATTGAGAGTTGTAGCTTAATATCAGATTTTTAATATAGAATTTTTAACATAGAATATTCTCTCTAAGCTTGGAGAGGGTTTTGAAGAACTTGAAGATTCAAAGGGTTTCAACTCCAAGATTTTGGACTTGGGTCTTGTGGATTCTTAACTTTGACTTGTTTAAAGACTTAATCTTACATAGCCATTGATGAAAACTGAGATTGGTATACATTTTTACCTCTTTTGCATGTGTAGCTAAAACCCCAATTCTTGGGGTGTGATTTTGTGAATATGGGTTAGATTATCTGTTGGGTCTTGCTTGCTGATGGTTTATTTGTTGTGTAAATGTGATTTCGTTTAGTGGTTGTGGTGGAACTTAATAAAATTGTAGTTGCAAATACGATTTCACCTTTGTGTTTTCGGCTTGCTCGAGAGAGAGGTCGTAAAACTAACACTACTAAACTGATGGCCGGTGGGAGTGGGTCGACATGAGGTTCAACTCGAGAGAGTGAACCCTAGTCCTTCTCCCACACACTCAGCTTGAGAGAGTGAGTGGGCTAAGGTGGAGGCTGTTCTTCATGCGACAAGTGGGTGTCCGAGAGGAACCCATTTGATTCGGGGTAAGTTGCTCGAGAGAGAATTTACCCCCACTATAGTCTAGCCTAGTCACAAATACTTAATGGATTTACTATCAAAATTATGTACCCAATAGTCTAGTCTAACCCGTATTCCTATCACATCCCAAAAATCCCGCCTCCATAATAGTAACTCTCATTATTTTTGCTGATTTTGCTCTTTACTTGTTTACAAACCCCCCATTGATAATTGACGCTTGCGTCACCCCTTAGATTTAACATGTTTACATTCAATAATGTTTTTAGCTATGACTAATTAGAACATAGTTTTATTTTTCTATTAATTCTCAAAACCACTTTCTGTGGGAACGATCCCAACCCTTGGTTGGGTTACTAAACAGTTGTACGATCGTAGACACTTGCATTGGAAGTTGTGTCTTGATTACGCAAACATCATTGCTTGACTGTGATTTGTTTTTTCTCAATGAGATCTTCAACCTTGTGTTTCAATGCATAACAACGATATGTGGAATGTCATTTAACCCCCGAATGGTATTCACATGTTTTAGAAGGATCAACACTTCTTGGCAATGGATCTGGAATTTTACCTTTCATGGGATACAATAACCCTGATGCTTGCAACCGTTCAAATACAACACTCAGTGGCTGCCCCAATGGTGTAAAATTGTGGGAAGATCTATTTGGACGTGGTGCACATGGATTGTTTTGATGATAGAATTGTGGTGGTGGGGCTTGATATGTTGGTGGTCGTGTAGCTCGATATGTTGGTTGTGTGTGGTAGACAGGGTATGAAAATTGTGATGGATAAGGTTGGTAAGATGATGGAGATTGATAGTATGAATGTGAGGGATATTGGAGGTATTGTGAATGGGGAGCACGATGTTGATGTTGTGAAGGTTGCTGATGGTGAAGTGAAGTACCTCCCAGATCCATTACCGCATTAACTTCTTTCTCTTTTTTCTTTCCACTTCCAAGAGCACCAGTTTAAGAGCCTTACTGGTGGACTGTAATGCTGCTAGACTTGTAATTCTTCCACTCTTGATGCCATCTTCAATCATGTCTCCGACTTTGATCACTTCAGCAAAAGATTTTCCACTCTTTGTGAGCATTCGTTCATAATACTCTGGTTCTTGTGCCTGAATGAAAAAAAGTGATCATTTCTACTTCCTCCATGGGTTTGTACCCTAGATACTTCTTCCCTCCACCGTATAACATATTCTCGAAATGATTCTGTTGATTTCTTCTTCAATTTTGTGATCGAAATTCTGTCAGGAGCAATCTCGACATGAAATTTATAGTGATCCACAAAAGAATTTGCCAAATCATCCCAAGTAAGACATTTTGTTGTATCTTGCTTAGAATACCACTCTAAAGCTTTCCCACTCAAGTTTTGATTGAACAATTTGATCCCAATCCTTTCATTCTTCCCGACACCAATCAATTTTTCACAATAGACTTTCAAGTGAAAGAAAGGATTTCCAGATCCATCAAATTTTTCAAATTTGGGAATCTTGTAACTCGGTGGCAACTCTACCTCAGGAAAAGCATATAACTCCTCATATCTTACACTTTGGATACTACCAAGCCCACACACACTTCTCATAGCATCTTCCAAATTCTTGAGCTTCGTGTTTATCAATTCATCACTAACTGACCTTGCCTCCTTTTCAACTTCAACATAATGATCAACATCTGGACGACACAGTTCATGAATCTGTGTCATAGGTGGAGCTGTGGCATAAGTATATACAGATGAAACTTGTTGTGTAGCATCATGTGCCACTGGTATATACTGAGCCTTTGAAGGAGTGACTGTAAACACATGAGAAACGTAACATTCTAAGTAACTTGGTGGATGGGTGGTGCATTTTGAACGGGTTGAGAAGTGGTAAAATAATTCACTTGGTTAATCTCATCCAAATTTGGGAATAGAGGTGGCATTGGCATACTCTAACAAACACCGGGAGATAGAGTCATATCTAGTGGAGTTTGAGACAATGACCTTTTCTGAAGAACCATACGACTCAGTTCAGTAATTCGTTGCTCTAGACGAGCAATGGTCTCTGGGGTTGTTTCTGATTCTTTTGAAGTGGCTGGATCACTTGTGATGGGTAAACTAAGAATTGGCTCAGATGAAGTGGTTACGTTAGTCAAATTTTTCTCCATTTTAGAACAAAACCATTTTGTTTTTCGGGTAATAAGTAGTGAGTCTGCAACTGATTTCTTAGCTTTGGACCGTGTGAAGTATGAATGCTCCGCCAGTTCCCCTTTTAGCACAAGTCAACCTTTTTTAATATTTTGAAAATATATATTTTTAAATAACAAAAAGAAAAAAGAAGAAAAAAAGAAAAAAGAAAAAAAAACACAAGTTAGTATGTGATAAGAGTAAAATGTTGCAAAAATAAACATGTTGTAACACATAGAATAAACATATTATCGCGTTTTATGATGCAAGGGGACCTCTTTGAGCCAGAGGTAGGTCTAACGAATATTTGAAGGACAAACATGTCTTTTATGTATCATTCCAAACTCTCCATAACTTAAGCTTTTACAAAAAAACATGGAAAATAAAATGTATACATTGAAATTCTCTATTAAATGTTGAAAATGAAATAAATACAAAGGTATTTAGTTTTTTTTTCACTAATCTTCTTGATTATCTTGGCGCCTTAATTGCCAATTGAAAATCTTATAGTTACCTGCAACAAATATTAGTTTTTTTTCCAATAAATATCTACCTTTAGAGAGTAATAGGTCCACATAATCGACATATTTATCCTTCAAATGATGAACATAAAGTATGATAATTGTCACTTAGGGTCGTAGAACCGTTAGGACATTTGGTAAGATTGACTAATGAACATTATACGGCAAGGGTATTAAGTTTCCTAGGTAATGATGCATGTTACTTACAAGGTTTTGGTTTAGCTCTAACTTGGGTGGTCTAAGAGTGGGTTTACTAGACACAAGGTTCCCGAGTGGACAACTCGAGTGAGAAGGCTACGCGGTCACACAAAAATAGATCCGGACACCTCGTGCATATTCCAACTCTCCTAACTTTAAGATTTAAAAGAAATTTGCGGGTGTGCAAAATACACCTCGTGTGTACGTGTGATAGTGTGAATATTCCAGAATTGAAGGAAATATGAACGAAATTACAGTTTATATAAAGCGATAACAAATAAATAATGAATACAAAAAATGTCAAATAAGCAGTTTATATCACATAAACAAGATAAATAGAATATCAAGCAAATAAGGTAAAGCAAATAAATATATAAAACCTTAAAAAATTAACCTAAGATTGTTATGGTTAGAACCTAAGTCCCCAGTGAAGTCGCCAAGCTGTTATAACATATTTTAACTGAGGTCAAATCAGTGTACAACATATTGATGATATCTAAATTAATTAACTTAAGAAGTCGCCACCTAACTATTACAAGGGTGAGTTAGGACACCTAAACTTTCAAATTGACTTCATTTTAAGGTCTTCTAACCAATTAGAGATTCTAAGGTAAGGGTTCAATTAATCCTAAAGGGAAGGGGTAAGGCATCCTTTAAGATCCACAAAAATGGTTAATCTGCCGGACTTAAAATTAATTTAAAAGGTCTTAAAGGTTGTTTAAAAAATAATTATTTTAATTGAAACAAGCTAATGATTAAAAATATATATGATATAATAGTGTGAAAAATAATGTGGATAATCATATAAAATTAACCTTAAGTTGATATGTAGGAAAATGATAGTTAGTTTCTTAAAGAGGAAAATATTGGATAAGAGGGATAAAGGGGCTGTTTTAAAAAATGTCTTTGCATTAGAAAGACGTCACTTGTTAAGATTATTATTTTTAGTTTGGAAAAAAACATTTCTTGCACAAATTCAAACCGATTGACTTTTGATTCAAAAGATATTTGTGAAATAACATGACGACTTCGGTAAGACTTGAAACAAAGTAATTTATTTTAAGTGAAAGCAACTTATTTTATATGATTTAAAAGAATAGCATATCAACTATGTATATCTCTAAGTATCTAAAGCCAAAATAAGTAAATCCCCCAAACTCGAAATAAACCCCAAAACACATAAATAAACAATTAGTCACAAAGAGTTAAATGAGAGTAAATGACAAAAGGAAAATGATAATAATAAAGTAAGACGTCATAGGCATTCCCCAAGCAATTCTTGCTTGTTTTTCTCGTAGGACACGTTTAAGGAAGATTTAATTGGAGAACTTTATGCGGGTATGGAGAGTCTTGCATTAAGACTCCATATGTTGCTCCAAAGTATTCATGCAAATAAAAAAGAATAAGGAGATTAGTAAGACGATTTAACTCCTCATCATAGTGAATGAATATAGTAATGAATAAAACTATGTAACAAATATGTTATCCCAAATACAAAATATGCAAACGCCGAATGAGATGCCCATCTTACAATTGACGACTTTCGAACAAATTTATAATAGCTAAATCATATTACAAGTCTCTTGGCCTAAAAACTAGTACTCAAAATCATTTAATTTAAACTATAAGGGAATTACTTTTCTAGATGTGAGTGATATCAAACCAACACAACTAGAGATCTTACAAAAGCATGCATTCATTTAAACTTACCAGAAAACTTGTACGACTTATGTACATATGTAAGCTAACAGAATAGGAAGAGAATGCTTAATACATATTTGTGGTGAATTGAGTTAGACCCATCTATATAAAATAAGCAGGTTCTACAGATAGACATTATTAAAATAAATATAAATAAACTTTCAATAAAATAAAGAAGACCCCTGCTATCTAATATACCAAAACTAATCTCAAATTTTGAGTGAACAAATATACAAAATCTCAAATTTTGAGCGAACAAAAATTAAGTATGACTAATGAATATTTAATGAGTGTTTATGTAATAAAATTCCAAGATCAACATTTCAGTCATCCCAAAGATATATCTCAAACATATACAATATGTAGTAAGAAAATTACATAAGTCTTGAGAGAAACTAAACATATCTAAACAAACGCATTAGTCGAGTTTTAACCGATTTCAACTCAATAAAGATCTAAATTTATTAATAATTTTTATCATATCACACCCAAAATATTTATCAACATTTTCAGTACAACAAAATGAACCTAACACATGATTTTATAAATAAATCTGAACAAAGTTATAGTCCGGGATATTACCTTCCACGGGGCATTGAAATGGAACTTTGGGGTCTAAGATCCACTACTCCTTTGTCGATAATGAAACGAGCTTTAAAACTTGTGTAAACCAAAATAGAATAATAGTAGGTGGAGTATTTTCCAAGGTCTAAAAAACTTGGTCTTAAAATGTGCCCTTTGTTGAAGAGTCGAAGGGTATTTATGGATGAAAAAATCTGAATTTTGAGCGGGAATTGAATCTTTCAAATTTTGAACTTCAGTCAAGACTCTCCATTCAAACTCGAACGTTTGAGAATGGGACTAAATCAGTCTTCACGTGATTCAAAAAGAGAAAAGTGATTTGCTTCAGGTTATACTTGAGAAGGGAAAACTTTGATTGTGCTTTCGATATGGACAATCTTGAAGCATGAAATGAGAAAGATAAGATAGGGACGCGTCTATGACTTCCAAGGTTTGCACAAAATGGTGAGGGAAGCGTCCGTTAAGTGGCGAAAGTGTTGGAAAGTTTCACCTGAAGAGGAAAAAAAATTAGCGGATGTAGCAGAGGAACCATAAAAGTTATTTGGGATCAAAGAAGGGGTTGTGGGCTGGAGAATTATAGCGAAAATGGGCCATTAAAATGGGTTCTATTTTGGGCAGATTTGAAAGGGCTTGTCATAATGTCTGATTTGGGCTCAATTTGAATGAATTTCCAAGGCCTTTCCTTCTCAAAATAATTCTTTGGGCTTCCTTATCTTAATAATTTAACCATTATATATATATATATATATATATATATATATATATATCTAAAAATACGACTATAAAATATTTGTAAAAGGAATAATAATTAATGATAATCGTTGTAATTAGAACAATTAGCGATACTAATACTAACTAAAATGATAATGAGAGATGGGATAAAAGTGATAGACAATGCAACTATAATAACGATATCGATAAGAGAATTATATATATATATATATATATATATATATATATATATGAAAAGTAGCGCTAAAATATAGTAAAAATAATAACAATATCTAAAAATAGATTATGAATGACTAGGAAGCGCATAGAAATAAATTAGAGAAGAGGTGGGACAAAATTGGGTGTCAACAGTGGGTGATATGTCCAAACTTACACCTCAATTAAGATATATAAACGGTAGAAGTCAATTTATAGAACTCAACGTGAGTTGTGATCGATCCCACAGAGAATTTCTTTACAGTAATGATTTCACTGTCGCGTTTACTCAAATGTCGTTATTATTTCATAAAGAAACAATTATGGAAAGTAAAGTGGGTTTAGTTGTAATGTTCTAGTAACTAAAATTTGTAATCAAAATCCAGATTAACAATTAATAGAGCTTTCAGTTTTCAATTTGTTTCGATGATTAAAAGAAACTAGGATTGTGTTCCCCATAACGTTCACCTAATGTTCTTCCATAGTTGAGTTTTAGGCAATTTATCTCTACAAAATACAGAAAAGTTAGATATATCTGATACTTCTCAGTCTAATCATATTATGTTCACTCAAGTCCTCTCGATCCCAGAGTGTTACTGGTTTTACCCTCATTTACAATGGTGTTAAAGTTCTTTTCTCTCGAACTCAAACTTTGACTCCATTTCTTCCAGCTAATTTAGCTTTTTCCTAACTATTATTTTTCTCTCGAATAAATTATAGATTCAGGCTCACTCCAATGTGTGCACTCATTAGAATATGTTAATAATGAAGCTAGATTATATTTGCAAACATAAATCGCCTATCACTCGTTTTACGGAATTACATTTTGATTCACGTTATAGATCCCACAATCCCAGTTGTGGTATTTAGCCACTCATGATTTCACGTAAACATTCAGAAATATAAAATGAAAACATATTGAGAAAGTACTTACGAGAATAAGCAAATCAACAAGCTACTTCGATAATTCAAGAACCGGAAATCCAAACTACGAACTTGATTCAATGTTAAAATCAAAAACCAAAACAAAGAATAATGGAAACTCGTTTGTG